GGGTCCTTGACCTGTGACTGCAGGGAACTGAACTCTGCAAACTGATGAGTGAGTGTTGTTTCAAGCCACTAAATTTGTGCTGACTTATTATGCAGCAAAAGAAAATCACTACAGCTGCTTTGTAGTTGAAAAATTGGATTTGCGGCTCCTTTTCTTATTTTATCTTTAAAAATTGAGGTAAAATGAAGATACATTGAAATGTATACAGACCTTAAGTGGACAACTCGATCTGTGGTAAATGTAGACCAGAAACATAATCAGCTCCTGAATGGAGATGCAGAGCACTTCCATCAGGCCCGAAGCTCCTTGAGCACCTTTGCAGTTATTCCCACCCTGTGGGGCGAATCCTTGACACCGTTAGTTAGAAGTGCGGAGCTTTATTTAAAGGGTCTTATACAGCACATGCTTTCTGCATCTGGCTGCTTCTGCGCACCAGGATGTTTTCGAGATTCATCCATTTTGTTGCTGCTTCCAGTGGTCCTGGGTATGGAGGCATCACTGCAGAGGGCAGGAGAAAGTAGGTGATGAGGGAAGGGGAAGACAACACATGGATTCAGTTGCTTAGAAGTGAAGGAAATGAGATCTGTGTGATGGGTTAATCCTTAGTGGAGTTAATACATGAAGGTTATTCATAGTAGAACGGATCCAACTCTCTGAGAGGAACTGGGAGCAAGGAAGAGACAGAAGGTCTAAGGAAGTTTCTATATGACTGAACCTGTGGAGACACTCATATTGCTACACCTGAATCTCTGGACCCACCTATGTGGGAAGTGTTAGCCCCAGTGAAGAGGTTGGGAGACCTTTTGCTTGAAATCATCTTCTTTCTTGGTGGAAGATAGGCAGTTCCTTCCTGGCAGGTTGCAGCTGTGGTCTGTGACTACCAGATACACCCACTTTGTTAGTAGCTAATTCTCTGATCACTAGATCAATATCTGTAGACTTAGAAATGGGGTTACTTTGTTTCTCCATAGAAGAATTTCTTTCTTCTCCCCACAAAGATAACATTGTCTAAAGTAGCATCAACCACGAGGCAGCATCTTGGTGTCTGATATATAATTTTTATTATAAATATAGAACTAATTTTGCAAATAATTGGGAAGTGGCATTAGCCAGACAAAATTAAATAACACAGCACATCACAGATGAGGGAAGGTATATACAGTCGTGTCAGGGTTTGAAAACCTTGAAAGAGGTACCTGAGTACATAGAATTTCCAACTGATTTTCTTGGGGAAGGCCTATTTGGTATATCCTGAGATCAAGTAGGCAATATTAAATAAAACCTTTCTGTTAGCCCCAAAGAGTTTACATCTGTGTAGAAGAAGGCTGGGTGGGGAGCTCTTCTTCCTTGCTTTTTATTCTACGGTATATTCATGGACCCCATGGGAAAAAGGGTAAATCTCAGAGGCTGTTCAAAATGCCCAGGGCTGTGTGTTATTAGCACCACCCCGCCAGGTCCTAACACCCTCCCACAGCCCTGTGTCCCAAGGGCATCAGCACCAGTGCAGCTTTCTCATTGTAAACAATGCCACCAGTGTGACTGAGAGGGCCCCATAGGTGCTCCCGCTTCTCAGGGACCAAATACATCTCAGCACAGGTGGCTTCCCGAGAAAGTGAGCAGGGCAGCCAGAAAGTGTGCAGGTAGAGATGCGGACTGGAATGGTAGCTGAGGGTTAGTCTGAAGTGCCTAGAAATGGAGTCTGGGGCTTTTCTAGCCATGGATGAGGGACGCCTCTTCTGATTTCTATTTGGAGCCCTGACAAAAAAGCCTTGGAGGCTCTTGAGCAAGGGACCTGAGGGATTGGGGTGACTTCTTTCACATAAAGCAGTTGGATTGGCTTACATGGCTACTCTAAGTAAAAATAACCCTTTTCACATAAATAAATAGTTACAAATATTAAAATGGTAGAATGTCTCAGACAAAAGGAAAAAAACCCCAATACCTGAAATTGTGCATTTTAAACCAATAGTTAAATAATCTCTGAAGAGGAGCTCTCTAATCCCCTTCCCACATTCCTTGCAGGTTGTGTCTATTAAAAGTTTGTTTCTCCCTAAGGCTGTGACCCCTCCCTCTTTAGCACTTTCTTGAATAAAGCCCATGAAAATATTAAAACAAAGTGCACTTTTGCATTTTCCATCAGGAATCACCTGTGGCTCTTGGCAAATAGTTTTCCTAGTTGCTTCTAGTGGGTTCTCTGGAGAGAGGTTTGCCAAAGTACTTAGTTAGATAAGCAGCAAGGTAATCAGACCTTGATCCTATAGAACCCCAAAGTGGACAAAGGTGTGGAATTTCCAAGGTCACTATTGGTTATATATTTGATTTTCCTGGGTGTGTTGGGCTCACAATAGGCTTTCTCTCTCTCTTTTTCTGGCACAAGTACTTCAGTGGAGAAGGACATACAAGTAGTCTCAAGATTGTGGCAAATTCAAATACTGATAGGACAGGATGGGGTGGGAAGAAATGAATTAGTACTGAATATATGAGTTTAAAACAAGTCCAGGTGGGAGGAATGGGGATAGGTGGGGAGGCTCTGGCACCTTCTGTCCTAAGTTGGCTTTGTCAAAATTCAATGACTGGGAAGGTGAGGTTTCTTAGGACTCCCGAATGTACCTTTTCACGCGTTGACATTGAAGGGAGGGGCTATGATCAGGCAGTCAAGAGGTGTATATCAGGGGAGAAAGGGGGGAGACTTTCCCCTTTTCCCCTGAGGGTAATTCTTCTCCTAGTGATGAGGGTGAGAGACTTGGACATCAGCAGTGCAGAGAGCAGGCCAGGTCGTATTACTTCTTTTTTACTTCTGAATAAACTGTCTCTGTGGCCGTTGGGGATGGGGAGGCTGAATTTGGTTCTGTTGGTTTTTGGGCTTTGAAATTCAGAGAAGAATAGAAAATTTCATTGATCTGAAAAGGAGGAACAGTGATCAGTTAAGTCAGTGTCATGACTCAGGGCCTCACCTTTGCTCAGTGAGATTCAGCACCAGGGCCTGTCACCATTTTGAAAGTCTGAGATTTGCAGAAGGGCTCTTGCTACCCATCCTCTGCTTGCTGACACTCTGATGAATGATCATTAGAAGAGACACATTAAAGTGGCATTTGTGCAACAGAATATGATAATAAATCCATAAATCCATATAACAATATGGATAAACAATATGAAACTCACAAAAGAACATTGAATGAGAGAAGTCACAAATAAGGATGTGCCGTATTTCTCATGTATGGAAGAGCAAAACCAGGCAAAACTCATCTGGAGCACTGGACGTCAGAATGGTGGTTTCTGGATTTGCTGCTTACATGGGTGTGTTTAACTTGTGAAAGATCATACCCTGAGAAATGTAATTATGATTTAGCTCTTTTCAGTATACATGTGTAGTCTATTGAAAGGTTAAAATGAGAAAAATCCTATAAAATTGATATAAAATAAAGGATCCATTAGAATGGAAATTATCCTTTTGACAGTAAGGACAGGGTCAGGCTGAAGGTAGAGGAGGGAGAAGGATTTAGTGTCCTCCTTCTGGCCGTGGTGCTGAGTGCTCTACACATGTTAAATTCCTTAATCCCTTCACCTTGTCTTTGATGTAGGCAAAATGCCCATTTTACAGATGGCACAGCTGAGGGTCAAAGAGGTTAAGTTATTTGCCCAGAGTTACTAAGAGCCATAGCTAGTATTTGACACAGGATGGAGATCATTCCAATGTGCACATTCTTGTTGTGAGGTAGACTTGTGGGAGTGATTACCATGAGTTGTCACACTAAAACCTTTAGCCCAAATTTGATCTCACATTTGTGTCTTCAAGAATAACCAATTTTGTACAGAATCATTTCCATGAGAAAATGAGTAGTAACACTGGTTGCGCTTACATTGTCGGGTAAGATGTCTGAGTGGTCCTCACCTGGGGAAGCAAAAAATTAGTTACTAATCCATGGAAATGCACTGACATAAGCCCTGGTGATTTCTAGCTGAAGGAGGTGGCAGGTAGTGGCAGTGGTAGTGGTTTGGCATGGGAAGGTAGCCCATTGTCAGTTAAGGAATTTGCTTCCATCTGAGTCTGAGACCCAATCACAGTAGCATTAGAGGAGGGCAGGGGTAAAGGCACTGTCCACTTCTGAAGGTTGAGTTCATAAGGCCTTGACTTTTGCCCAGATATGTTTCTCAGCAATATGCTCCAGTGGCAAGGAGGGGCATTGAGGTACACAACCCAGAGCACCCAAAAGACAAGGAAAGTCTCACCATGGGAGAATGCCCACATCTGTAATAGAGGCAGGAGGGGGAAGGAGTAAGGACCAGGCGATGGCTCCTGGGAACATCTGGGAACATGGGATCTTACTCAGGCTTGCCTGGCCTAGGTGGAAGTAGCCTTTCTGGTGGCGCTATGTTGAGGAAGGGTGTGAGGACCTGTGCCAATTTAAGATTGGGAAATGGAGAGACCCTCTGTAAAAATTCAGAAGTAGCCTAGATATGGTAGCACATGCCTGTAGTCCCAGCTACTTGGGAGGCTGAGGCAGGAGGACTGCTTGACCCCAGGAGTTTGAGGTTGCAGTGAGCTACAATGATGCCACTGCTCTACAGCCTGGGTCACAGACCTAGACTTTGTCTCAAAAAAGAAAAAAATAAATAAATTGAGAAGGGAAGGAGTGTTTTGGGGATCCAGGATTCCCTGCCAGAGCAGGACACACGGTGGAACAGATCAGTTCTCACTGAGTGAGTGGTTTTACTTACTGTGGTTGGAGGCTGAGGATTTGTGCTCTGTGAGATCATGCTGGTCGCTTGCCCTAAATAAATATCAGACACTGTGACTGCTATTCCCAAGCACAGGATCCTTGCTCCCTGAGTTATGGAGGACACTGTGAGTAGTCAATTTCTCCATGTTCAGTCATACCATGTTGCTATTGCCTTTCCTGTTAGGAACCCATCCGTCTAACCATCATCTCTTCTGGTGTTTACTCTTTTCCTGTTTGCTGGATGTTCACTTTTAGCTCCATTCTTTATTAACTGTTTCTGTGCCTTCTTCTACCCTAAGAGTTTTCCTAATTTGTTTTCCAGGGGTAGATTCTGGTTTTCATTTGTTTGACTTTTTCTATTGTCTGAAGGGATTTGGTAGTTTGTCTTTTCCTTAGGTTCTCCTCCTGTCCTGTTCCTCCTCCCCCTGCCACTGTGGTCAGTGGAGCACAGGACTTGCTTTCTCCTGCTGCTTCTTTCTTTTTCTCATTTATTTTCTTCTTGGACCTTGGCTTCCCTGAGTGGGGACCATAGGAACATAATTGGGTCTGTTCCTCTAGACTATATGGGGATTGGAACAGCCATGTCCACGAGACAAAGGGGTGCAGGGAGCACGGACACCAGGGAAGAAGAGACCAGCAGGAATTAGTGCCGAGAAGCAAGAGTTTAGCAGGAGGAGGAGATCCAGGCGCAGAGACAGGTGTAGAACGTCTTTCCCTCTCCCAAGCATGGCAGTTAGCCTTGGAGGAAACCCAACAAGAGGAAAGGCATCATACCTTCTACTTGTGGAACTCAGAAAGTATGCTAGGGCTGCCATCAGAGCCACCCCGGCCAGTACTCCAATCACAATGCCAACTACGGCCCCCATTGAGAGGCCAGGAGAACTTTCTTTCACTGGAGCATCTGCATAGGAAAAGAGGAGAAGGAAGGAAGGCGAAATTATTTCACAGTGGAGGTCCCCCGGGAAACAACTCTCAGTATGAAGTACTCTCTACTTGTTCCTTCAAGGAATCCTTTTGTGTGTGTGGTGGAGGGAAAAAGCTGCTGAGAGGTGATTAGCCAACTACATCCTTGCCATTTTTTCCCTCTCACCATGTTACTAGGTTGGTGATCATTCTTTGGACAATTCCATCCTGGGCTTTCTGCACTCAGACATTTCTAAAGGCTTTGAAATGTGAGAAAAACTCACTGTGGGTTTTGTACATGTTTACAACTTAACGCATCTCTGTGGTTACATTTTTTTTCTCAGTGTCTCAGAGCCACAAATATGATGCTCTCAGGTCCCTATGGCAGGGATTTAGTTGACAGAAGGCACAGGCCAGTGCACTCTAAGTTCACCACTTCATTTACACAAAGTCCTTGCTTCCTGCGGGCTCCCAGCAGAGGTACATGTAGACCTAATTCCACCAGACCCTGTTTTTCTCTACTGGGTGACTGTCTTGAAGACTCCCTATCTGCCTTGCAGAAACTCCCTTAGAACCACACCATAACCTGACACTTCCTTCTCTTTCTCCCACATAGGCATCAAATCTGCAGTGTGGTCTGAGGGCTCTCCCAGGTTTCTCCCACTCCTGCCCTACTCTCCCTCATAGACATTATCCCCATTAAATTATCTTGCATGTATATCTGCATAAAATACCTTTTGCATCTGTTTCTTCCTTATTTCTATTGCAACCATTTGGGGCTTAGCTCTCACCAGTCATCTTGAGACTGATGATTAGTTCACTACTGTTGTGGGTACTTACTATGTGCCAGGCTCTATGCTAAGTACTTTCTGTTTGTCTCATTCGATTTAACAATATCCCTGTTAGGGATACATTGTTTCCATTTTAAGAGTAAAAAATGGAGGCTTAGAGTGGTGAAAAACTTAACCAAAGTTACAGGGCTGGTGAGAGGTAGATCTTGGATTTAACTCTAGCTAGGACTGTCTGACTTCAAGGCTAAGGGTAATAGCAATAGTAACAGCTATTATTAGTAATTATTAACAGTAACAGCTAATATTTATGAAACATTTCCTCTGTGTGTGGCATTTTGCTGCAGGTTTAATTGATTATTACATTAAGTCCTTAAAACAGTTGCATGAAGCAGTATCTATTACAACTTTTGGTTGAGTAATCTGAGGATCAGAGAAGTTAAAAATCTTGTGCAAGAAATTTATAATTGTAAATGCATTAAAAATGAAGAAAGCTCTTAAATAATCCTAACTTTACAACTTAAAATGAAGAAAAAGAACAAGTTAAACCCAAAGATAGTGAATAAAGGAAATAATAAAGACTAGAGTGCTGTTAAATAGAATGGAAAACAATAGAGAAAGTTGATTCTTCAAACAAGATCAAAATAATTGACAACCTTTAACTAGATTGACTGTGAAAGAAAGAGAGAAGATTCAAATTACTAAAATTGGAAAATTAAAACGAAACCATTAGAACCAATTCTATAAGAATAGTGATTATTCAAGTTCTAGGAATAACTATATGCCAAGAATTGGATAACTAGGTGAAATGGACAAATTCTTAGAAACATAAAACCTGCTAAGATGGAATCATGGAGGAATAAAAAATCTGAATGGGTCTATAACCAGTAATAAAATTGAATCAATAAAAGCATTGGACAAAATTTAATATCCTTTCATGATAACAGCACTCTAACTAGGAATAAAAGTAAACAATCTCACCATGGAATACTATGCAGCCATTAAGAAGGATGGAGACTTTACATCCTTCATGTTCACATGGATGGAGCTGGAGAATGTTCTTCTGAGCAAAGTATCACAAGAATGGAGGAAAAAGTATCCAATGTACACACCCCTATTATGAAACTAATTTATACCTTTTATATGAAAGCTATAACCAAATAGCCTAAGAATATGGGGGGGAAGGAGGAGGGAGGGAATGGGTGGAGGGAGGGGGTTTGGAGGGATCACTTCTGAGGTTTATCTTATAGGGGTACAGGTGAAACTTTCTAAGAGTAGAATGTGAACGTTTTAAAGCAATAACTGAGAAAATGACATGAAGGCTGTGTTGAGCAGTTTGATGGAAGTATTTCAGATTGCATGTGAAAACCCTACACTGTACCCCAGAAGTGCATTAATGTACATAGTTACCATTCAATAAAAAAAAAAAAGAAGTAAACAATCTCAACAGATGATAAAGGCCAAATATGAAAATACTACAGCTAACACCATACTCAGCTGTGAAAGACTGAAAAATTTCCTTTAAGGTCAAGAACAAGACAAGGATGCCTGCTTTTGCCACTTCCATTCAATATAGCTTTGGAAGTCCTGGCTAGAGGAATTAGGTAAAAAGGAAAAAAGCATCCAAATTGGAAAGAAGTAAAATTACCTCTGCTTGCAGATTACATGAATTTTTAAGTAGAAAACCCTAAAAATTCCACAAAAACACTGTTAGAACTAATAATAAGTTCAGGAAACTGCAAGATACAAAATCAACATGTAAAAATCAGTTGCGTGAGAGAAAAAATCTAAAGGAAATTAAGAACAAAATTCTATTTACAAGAATTAAAAAAAAATAAAATATAAAATATTTAGAAATAGGCTCAGCGCCTGTAGATCAGTGGTTAGGGCGCCAGCCACATACACTGAGGCTGGCGGGTTTGAACCTGGCCTAAGCCTGCTAAACAACAATGGCAACTATAACAAAAAAATAGCCAAGCATTGTGGTGGGTGCCTGTAGTCCCAGCTACTTGGGAGGCTGAGGCAAGAGAAATGCGTAAGCCTAAGAGTTTGAGGTTGCTGTGAGCTGTGACACTGTGACATTCTACTGAGGGCAACATAGTGAGACTCTGTCTCAAAAAAACAAAACAAACAAACAAACAAAAAAAACTTAGGAATAAACTTAACGAAAAATGTGAAAAACTTACATCCTGAAAACTACAAAACATTGCTAAAAGAAATTAAAGACATAAATAAATGGAAAAGATGTCCTGTTCTCATGGATTAAAAGATGTAATATTGTTAAGATGACAGTACTACCCAAGGTGAATTACATATTATTTCATGCAGTTCCATCAGAATTCCAGTGATAATTTTTGCAGAAGTAGAAAAATCCATTCTAAAATTCATATGGAATCTTAGGGCACCCTGAATAGCTAAAACAATCTTGAAAAAGTAAAGTTGAGGGCCCACACTTCCTTATTTCAAAATTCAGTACAAAGCTACAGTAATCAAAACAATTTGGCACTGACGTAAAGCAAGATAGACTAACCAAGGCAATAGAATAGTGAGCCCAGAAATACATATATGGCCAAAATGGCTTTTGACAAAGGTGCCAAGACTATTTGATGGGGGAAAGGATACTCTTTTCAATAAATGGTGTTGAGAAAACTGGATATCCTTGTGAAAGAATGAAGTTGAATCTTTACCTAACACCATATACAAAAATTAACTAAAAATTGAACTCCACTAAATGTGGGGCTAAAACTATAAAAGTGTTTCAAGGGTGAAAGCTTCATATCATTGGATTTGGCATGATTTATTGGCTAAGACACCAAAATCATAGGCAACAAAAGAAAAACTAGACAAATTGGACTTCATAAAAATTAAAAACTTTTGTGCATCAAAGAATGTTTTCAAGAAAGTAAAAAGACCACTTATCGAATGGAGAAAATACATGAAAATCATATATCTGATAAGGGATTAATATCCAGAATACATTAAGAACTAATGCAACTCAACAACAACCACAAAACCCCAAACAACTCAATAGAAAAATGGGCAAAGCACTTGAACAGACATTTCTCCAATAGCAATCATCAGGGAAGTGCAAATAAACTCCAGTGCTACACCACCTCATGTGCCATAAGTTGGCTAACAAAAAAACCCCAGAAAACAAATGTTTTTAAGGACATAGAGATATTGGAACTCTTGTGCGTTGTTGGTATTAATGTAAAATGGTACAGCCATTGTACAAAATGATATGGTGGTTCCTCAAAAAACTAAACTGAGACTCACCATTTAATCCAGCAATTCCTCTTTGGGGTATATCCCTAAACAAACTGAAAGCAGGGATTTGAATAGATACTTGTACACCCATGTTCACAGCAGCATTATTCACAATAGCCACAAGATGGGAGCAACCTAAGCGTTCATAGATGTATGAATGAATAAACAAAATGTGGTATATCTATAAAATGGAATATTATTCATTATTAAAAAGCAATAACACATGGATGGATCTTGAAGACATTACGCTAGGTGAAGTAAGCCAGACAAAAAAGACAAATGCCTTTTGTTTCACTCATATGAGAGGTACTTAGAATAGTCAAATATATAGTTATCAGGGGCTGGGGAGTAGGTAGTTATTGTTTATTGGGTACCCAGTTTTAGTACTGGGTAGGATGGAAAAGTTCTGGGGTTCTGGAAATAGATAGTGATGATAGTTGAACAACATTATAAATGTACTTAGTAGCACAGAACTATCCACATAAAAATGGATAAGACGCTAAATTTTGTTATGCATATTTACTCCCTATCTGTACTGTATCTCAGGGGAGAACCTGGGATTTGCTGTGCCCAGGACATAGACTGGGAAAGAAAATTTCTTCTTGACTGTTCTTTGAAACCCCACTAGATTCCACCCTAAAACTTTCTGCTAATGCTACATCTATCTACTTACCTGAGACTATGATCTTCATGACCGAGGTCCTATTGAGGCCTGTGGCTGAGTTATGGGCATGGCAGGTGTAGGACCCACTATCCTTTGCAGTGATTCTGGGGATAAAGAGCTCTTGTGTGGCTTGCTGGGAACTCCCATTGATAAGCCAAGAATACTGTGCAGGTGGGTTTGAGTCCGAATGGCAGGAGAGGCTGAGGTTTGCCCCTGAACTGTAAGATGCCTCTGGAGGGGAAATGGTGGGGGCATCAGGGCCATCTGGACAAAGAGAATAAAACCAGATGTGATGTCATCAGAGGGAAGGAGAAATTCTTTCTCTGCAGAGGGTTTCTCTCTGAGCTATGTCCCAACCCTTATAAAAAGTCCCACCCCTACCCCCTGTGCTCACTGAGCCTGGGGGAGACATTTACCCGTTTCTCCATCAAGGGTTGTTGACCCTGAGCCTCCCAGGACAGGAGCAGCCCTCTCTCCTCTTCTTGCTTAGGACTGGGCCTGCCTGAGTTTGGCAGAAGCAGGAAGTCATGGCCAGCCTGGGTGCCCGGGAGTGAGGGTCTGTGTACTTGGACCTGAGAGGGACTAAGTACCCTGGGTCTGGCTGTGTTAATTGGGCTGGCAGCCTGGGCCACGAAGGACCAGAGATACTCACAGAGAACATTCAAGGTGAAGGGGTCACTGTGGTTGGTGCTCTCTGGGGTCTGTATTTCACACACAAAATGTCCTGAGTCATCCCTTGTGACATCAAATAAAGTGAGAGTCCTGTTATCCGGGGACAGCTGCAGTCTGGGACTGATTGGGAGGTTCTGATTGTTTAGCCACCACAGGTAGGTCACGTCCTGAGCTGCTGGTTCACAGGTTAATGCCACAGAGTCTTTGTTCTCCACGGGGTTGGAGTTGTTGCTTGTGATGGAAGGTCTGGGTAACTCCACTGTGCACATAACAGAGAGAGGGTTGCCCTGTGTGGTGCTTTTGATTCCTCCAAAGGCGTCTTTCAATTACAGATGGCATTTCTTCACCTCTCAGCCAACCTTAGTCCTTAAAAGACCAAGGCACATGTGTGTGTGTCACAGACAAATGTGTGAGGATCTGAGGGTCAGGGAATGTGACGTGGCCTGCTTTGTCTGGGAGACTCACAGACTTTCTCAAGTATGAATTAAGCCCCAGCTTTAGGTTATGGACAGACACAGGACTGGGAGTCAGACATTCCCTGGCGCCTCTCCTGGCCCTTCCCTGGCCTCTGACTGCCTGAGTATCCTCAGGACATGTGGGTGCTGAGTCCCTTCCAGCTACATGCTCAGCTGAGGGGCGTTTTCTCTCAGGCCTCAGTATATAAGGACGTCCTAGAGCTGGGTGACGCTGGGTGATATTTGGGAAGAAATAACACAGGGCGACAGGAGCAGGTCTGGGGGTCAGCAGAGTTCTCAGGCCCCAGGGACTGGAGAAGGGCAGTTTGCTCAGGTGTTGATGGGCACAGAGATTCAGTTTGGAAGAGAAGAGGTCTATGGATGGATGGTGGTGATGACAGCAGGACAGTGTGGGTGCACTTAATGCCACTAGACTGTCCACTGAAAAGGATTAAGGTAAAATTTATGTT